ACTTATGTAATTTGAAATCTAAGTTTAAAAATGTGTAATCGGTTCTTGAAGATAATTGGATGCATCTTCTAAGTGCAGTCGGCAAGACTATCATTAAGATTCAGCTATGCCATATTCAACAATTTGTAAGTCCATGGAATAACACCTTCCATGAATCTATGTATTAAATGATGTCTAATCATTGGTTTAAAATAAAACAAAATTTAAAACAATTATATTTAAACACGTTTATTAATACATATCTATATGGAGAATAGAAATTGGAATTTTTTTAAAATTTTATAATTTTATTATCAAAAACATGATTAGAAAAAAATTATGTTCAGTTGTCAAAACTACTCCAGACCTCTCAAAATAAAATAAAATTCCAACTTCATTTCCACCAATTACACAACATATAAAGAACTAATAAACTTAAAATCATTTTAGAGGTATACAAAAATAAATATATAATTTTAAAACACAATCAACACTAATTGGTATGTAGTCTACAATATTCAAATTCACTACTAACTCCCTCGTATGAGGTGTAACTTATAATTATTCTTGGTGTTTCCTGGATTAGCAAATATTAACAAAATTCAATCTAGGGATCATAAAAGCTTAAGGGACTTGAAAATCCATCCAAACTGTTAATGCAGCTTGAAAAAAAAAATCTCAGAATTCTTGCCAGAAATTTTGTGGGACAATCCTTAATCTATTTAGAACTCTTATAGGTAACATTATAGTTTCCTAAATCATAGCAAGCATTGCACCTCGAACGTTATAGTTTCCTCACCTCATCTATTACAGGTTTATCTCATATTTATTTCGTTCTCATCCTCTAATTATTGCCCGTAGACAACTCATTTATATTAATTTTAACTAATTAATTAAGGAAAAAAAATTAACATATTTCCAGCCATTAGGATTAATTAACTAATTTTAGAAAAAGCCCAAAATTTGAACACTAATCTCACTTTAATTAAACATAATTATTGGCAAAATATTTCAATATTTGTTTGTTTACAATTTTTCCCAACATACTTTAAAAACTTTCTTCTCAGTCTCTAATGGTGGCATATTTCATTCAATTTTTCCATTCCTAGAGTAACGAGGGGAAAAAATGTTTTTATTGGTGCACTTGTGTCTGGTTTTACCCACTCCTCTAACATCTCACCCTCTTCTTACTAGGGGAAAAAATGTTTTTATTAGTGCACTTGTGTCTGGTTTTACCCGCTCCTCTAACATCTCACTCTCATTCTTGTAGGTTGGATCTTGAACAAATGACATCCTTACCTATTTATAGGTATTCTATCTACTCTCTACAACTCTCCCCATAAATATTCTAGATAAATCCTAACAAATTCTATACACTCAATGAATCTTTACAACTCTCTCCATAAATATCCTAAATAAAATTTAACAAATTCTATACACTACATGAATCTTTACAAGCTCTCCAATATTTTAGAAATTTTTAACTCTATGCAATACTCCACGAACATGAAAGGCTATAAAAATCAACTTTTCATGTCATGCGCACATCATGCAAAGTTCTGCTTAATGTGTATGGTCAGTGGGGCGTGACAATAAGCTGCCTACTGTGGATAGTAGTAGTCTAGCTTCCTTCATATTCCTAATGTTTGCTCCTTGCGTTTATTAATTGAGGAATTCCATTGTCATCTTTTTCTTTTGTTTCTCAATTGTGTATAATTCTTTCGAAACATTTGTGGTTTTCACATCCTCCCTCATCTTGGTATGCCTTCATCCTTTGCTGCTTTGAGAATTGGAATTCTAACCTTAAAAATGGTGATACTTTCTTTTACAAGATTGTTAGCGGAAAAGCACAAAACAACCTGATGCTCTAATACCAATTGTTACAGCTGAAATCCAAAAAGTAACAATGGTCGAGGAATAATCACAAACAATCACGCAAAAAAATAATAATAATAATAATAAACAATTACACATGAGCACAAAATATACATGGTTCAACCAAATCTTAGGGTTACATCCATGGAATGCACCGAACAAATTCCACTATGAAAAAGATGATGAATTACAATGGAGAATTTCCTCTCAATCTCTCTCAATTACTCTCATGTTAGCGGCACAAATTAATCACATAAATCTTTCGCAATTCTCACGATCCACTACTCTCATTATTACAAGTCTTAAAATCTCATTAAGGTTGTATATAGATAGTCCTGGACAAAGGAACTCAAACTTTCCCTACAAGACTTACCTTTTGTAGAGTCCAAAACTAATAAGGAAAGCAACTTTCACAACTTCCCAAGGGAGTGCAACCGGTTGCACCAAAAACGCAACTGGTTGCACTTGATATACTCCAACGTTTGGAACTCACTACCCAAACGCAACTGGTTGCATTTTGGCAGTAGCTAAAACAAACTTGCAACTTTGCATATACCTGATTGCCCCAAAATGCAATTGGTAGCTAAACCAAAGTCAATAAATAAGCAAGTTTCACTACCCTAATTCTTCATGTGATCAGACTCCACAAACCACGACAATTACCTAGATTGGTTATATGTATGGCATTTGGAAAGAGAGAAATTCTAGGGTTTTTAGCTCCTAGTGTTCCTCTCCTTTTTTATGTTGCCAAGAGCATTTTTTGCTCCATCAGAACTAGGCTGCTTTAGGTGAAGTTGAAGAATGTTATTCTTTTACTAATGCTGCTGGTTAACTTTGGTGCTTGGTTGGCCTTTACCCTTTGGCTGTTGATTGTTTTTTTTTTTTTTTGGTGGTGGTTGATTGTTGCTATTTTTCATTGTAGCTAGCTCCTTTATGTGGCCAAGTTGGTTGTGCTCTTCTGTGAGGCACCTTTTTGTTTTTTTTTTTTTTGAACCGGGGTATTTGGGTCTTCGCCCCACTAATTCATGGGACTCGTGTAAAACGATTCTTCTACACGAATCAGATAAAATTCAAACTATGTTCGTGATCGTGTCTCCTAAAAAATTGATCGCATTCAACAAAAAATTCGAACCTAAAACTTACTAATTCACTAAAGCACTAAGTCACAACCACATATTGGGATTAGGTCCGTTCAAATTGTCTTGTCACAATATCTTTAAAACCACTCAAAGAATAATTTATTGCCAAGCCTGAAATAAGATATGTAATACACATGATTGTGTCTGAGAAGGTGGATGATTCACATGCCACTTTTAAAAATGTAGTATCACATTACAAACACAAAACTCCAAAAACAAGACTCACAGATCAAACACATATCCATTCAAATTTTTATACACACTCATTGCAGTCATGTGAGGGGTTTTGAATTTTTGGGTGTCGGAGAGACTTACTTGCACTACTATTTGACTTGTGGTTAAAGAGAAACAACAACCTGTGAAGTCTGTGGTGCACTCTATGCCCACTTGACTACCTGAGCCACCAATCGAGACTCACTTTAAGTCATCCTTCATAATCTGCACAACTAATATCTACCAAATGAAAACTATAATTTTCAACAATCAAGAGAAGTGATCAACATTATAGATACACACACACGCACGCGCGCGCACACACACACACACGCACACATACATGCAAACTTCACAAAAAGAGACCATCTAATAGCATTTCCAACATTTACGTGACAGTTTGCAATAAAATGTCAACACATCTAGGGAAAGCAATTAATTTCTTAATTGCTTGCCATCCATGGCCTCAGTTCACCCGAGTTGACTCAGAATAGCAAAACAACTAGTTCGTTAGTCGTTTCTAAGAGAAATTATTAGATACTTTTGAACCATTAACACTTGGTGGACCAATTAAATTCAAAATCTCAGATTAATAAAATGAACTCACAAGAGTGTATTAATATATTATAAAGAAATCTCAATATTATTTTTCGTTGGATTAGTCCATCAAGTATCAAATGAACTACGAACATCTAAATATTTGGCTATTTTTTAGTTCACAATTGATACAATTGTTGGGCCAGGCCTGTAGTTGGGCTCAGTTTCCACTATCATGTTATTTGAGTAGCCTAGTCTTTTGTTGGGCTCTTGCCTTCTAGGCCTACCTTGGGCCCTCCCTGTACATTTTCCTATATATTTGTACAATTGCTTTACCATTCATGAAGAGGACTCATCAGTGATTGCATTAATGGTGCTTTTAGATGAAACTTTATTTTCAATGTGATGGAGGGAAAATTCTCCACCAATCAGGGCATGACGCATGTGCAACAGAAGGCCAACTAGAAGTCTAGAAAGAGACAAATGGACGACTGAGGATTGGGCTTGAGGAGGGAGCAGCTCAAGCTCGTTCGCACAGCCCGGCCCAGTCGAGTTGACCCAAGAAATGGGCGTCCAGAATGGCCCAACCGGCCATAGAAGACCGAGCAGAAACATGAAGCCCATCCGGGCCACAGCATTTATTGTCCAACCTCTATAAATAAATAAGGGCTCAAGTCCCCAATGAAAGCAAGCAATTATTCTGGATCGGACTTTCGTGTTCGTCCGGAGATTTTCAGAACCTACACCATGCAAGATCAACAAATATTATGCAATTTCTGGCATTTGCTATATACATATATATATATATATATATAACAGAGTAAGGTCATTCAGAAAGGGTCAATCATCAATGATGATACTAAATATGAACCCATAGTATTTCATAAAGAAGTAGACACTGTAGGGTGCCCTAACCACAATTGATTTGCTACTTAAGCTAACAACCTATTAAGGATGCTCATAGTGAAGCCCCAACCCCACTTTGAATTCATGAGCATGCTTTGGACAGTCGGGACTATACATTTTCTCATTCATAAGATGAGGTGGGTCACACAATATTCCATTGAGCCCTGGGATGGTGGCGTTCGAAAACCTCCTTATTCTGCCTAATATAACCTGTTAAGGGTTGCTCATCCTGATACCTCAACTCTGCTCTCTACCAGGCCTCCTCTCCTGCCTAGAGTCTATAATGCTGTTTCAAGTGTTTTCTTCTTGTCAGATTCCAAAATAGGGGGAAAAAACCTCCTTATTCTGCCTAATATAACCTGTTAAGCCTTAAGGGCTGCTCATCCTGATACCTCAACTCTGCTCTCTACCAGGCCTCCTCTCCTGCCTAGAGTCTATAATGCTGTTTCATGTGTTTTCTTCTTGTCAGATTCCAAAATAGGGGGAAAAAAAAAATATCAAAGATCGAAAACTATACTCCACCCCTCATTACAGCGGTTTTCTCTTCTTGTCAACAAAATATAAGCCCTCATTACACTCGTTACCCGAACAAAGAAAGCTCATTTTGGCAAGTGGTGCACATATACATACTTAGAACTCACTCTTCTTCCTCATCATGGCAAATCTTTGTGAAATAACTCCCCCATGAGAAGGGGGAGAAAAAAAAAAAACATATTTAGGAGACGGCCATGATCACAAATTATATCACCATGCACCTCTAAAAAGTTCTTATAGATATATAAACAACATAGAAGTTTAATGGTCCTTTCTCTAATAAACAAATAAACCGCATCTATATATACTCATGACCATTTCAATTTTCAAAGGATTCGCCCATTAACATATAATGTATAAATGATTAAAAAGGTTCTCTATACAAACATATTCTATAAGACTCACCTGACAGCATTAAAATCATATTTCTGAATATATTTTCACTGAAAGGAAAGCATAGAAGCCCATGAGCATCAGTAATTTGAGTTGAGAAGCATCCTCACATGCATGTGGGGTCCATTCTTTTTGCAAGATGGGATAAAATGGTCTCCTTGATCACCCCCAAGAGTGATTTTTGCTGAACAAAAAACCAACTGAAAAATTGTTAAGAGCATCAGTAAGTCCACAATGATGTTTAATCAAAAGATCAAATATTGTCAATAAAGACATCTGAACAGAAGAAGCATATATAAAACATCACCAAAAGAACAGCATGAGCTCCTAGTCAATGAACAGCATCCTTTATTTTTCTTTTTCTTTTTTTTTTTTTTGGTAATTGACACACATTACAGATACTAGGGAAAGTGTTAACCCCACCCTAAAGAAGAAAAAAAAAATAACGAACGAAAGAAATACACTTATTTCATGATTTTTGCATCATCAAATGAATGGAACACTTAATTTCACATCAGCCAGTTCAAAGAATTCGTAACTAAATTATGGTAGTAACTTTTACTGAACACTAATCTGCTAATGCCATTGTTCATTTTCTTTTCATTTTTATGTCATATTAGAAGTAAACTTCTAATGAAACCGTAAAATTCAAAAGTAGTTGGTCAATTGCTATACATTGGAAGAAGACCGCAAAAAGATCCAAGAGCCAAGATTAGTATCTGCATGGAGCTCTATCAGGCCACAGCTAGTCATGCAGCCTGCAGAGTGATGACTTCCTGGAAGGTAACATAAGCAGCAAACTGGTTAAGATGGTGTTGGCCCTAGTTGCTAGTAAGGCAGTGAGGATGAGAGAGAGAGAGAGAGAAATCCTGGCTCAGCAATGGGGAAGTGGAACTTTGGCGCCTAGCCTAAAGCGAATTAGTCCCAGCTCGTGGCATTACAGTCACCATGTTAATCTCACTCAAAGGTCTTACTAGCCTTCCAGGGCATTAATGAAGTGTTTTTTCCTTTCGAGTATATGATTTCATGCATACAAATTCACTTTTGAGAGATTTTACCAATGCTGTGGCAAACCTGCATGTGTGTTCAAAATGTTATAAATTTTAGTCATCTTGCAAGTCAAAATTGTAGTTACCAAGTTTTACCACAGATCATATACACCTATACGTACAGACCTTTAGAAGTAGATAATACATCATTGGCTGGTACTCTTTTGCATCACAATGATCAGAAACCAAATTAAAATATAACTGACAATCCTTAGTCTCATAAACTCACTCTAATTCACTGAAATTCATGTAGAAGCACCAACAACTACCAAATTTGCATCATGAGATAAGAAACTAAAAGAACAGCAGGAAAAAAAAAAAAAATTTGAAAATCCCTAGTCTCATAAAAATAAGTCTAAATAATTTAACTTTAGGTAGACATACCAACTACAACTGAAACGGTAACTCTCACAGGGGTATGAAACAACAATCACAAGTCATAATCTCATTTCTTGCTACAGAAATGCTATCAGAAATTTCATCTTTATCCCCAATAACCTAGGAAATTTATTTCAAACTGATCTCCAGTATGAAATTACAAGAATGTCTTGCATGAGAAAGCTCAGTTTTCTTACTTTGCTCTTTCCAAATTAAGTTCCCATTGACTTATCAGGAAATAATAATAAGTTCCCATTGTCCATGACAACTCATAGTTGTACCCTCAATGCATATTGTGATAGGGATGGTGTTTAAAAGTGAAAATACACTTGATGTTTTAACTTTGATAGCGGACACACATTATGTTTCATGGCCTAATGTCACAAAATTATAACAATAATTTCAGCTATTTATCTTAATCTAACAACATTTTTTCATCAAAGACAAAGTCATCATTGAAATATCTTTTTAAGGGTTAGCCTTTTTCTAATGAAAATAAAAGATTATAACATCTGCAGACATTTTTAAATCCATTTTAAGTGCAAGCTTGAAGTAGAATCTGTTATCAATGGAATCTAAGGGACATATTGAAACTCAACGTCTTCAACAACAAAGTTTAGTCAATTGTACAAAAAAATAATAATAAATTATGAAGCATAACATATAATGAACACAATTCAAAAAAATAAATTTTTAGTAAATTTTATTAAATATTCTAAGACCATCTAACACGAGTAGTAATCAATTTAAAATAATTCATTTCTTATATAACATGTGAGACAGTGGAGAATCCCACCCCATTTTAGAGCTTTTATTGGGGTGAATGAGGAGATGCCTCCCATCAGTGCTGATAGCAGAGATAGAACCATATGGACATGATCTCCTCCTACAGAGAAGCTAAGTTACATGAACTCGGGTACAGGTGTCGGACACTGTCACACAGGTATGTATCCATGTGTCAGATGTGTCAAATCTCCAAATAGAAGGACACACGGACACGGCTAAATATTCATTTATTAATTATTTTATTTTATTTTCTAGAGTAAAGTAATGTTTTATCTAATATAATGTTCAATATAGGCACTTAACTATTTTTAAAGCAATAATATAATGTAATTGAATGATTGGATATGTTTTTTAAGTACATGTCTAACCAAAAGTCTCGGACACATATCCCATACCCATGTCCGAGGGATATGTATCCGACACGGGTACTTCATTACTTTTGAAGAGTCTGTGTAACAGAGCAGGGAAGTTCAACTTGAAGGACACATACAATGCTCTCCTTCCTCCTGCCCCTCTCTGTAGATGGAAACTCATTATTTGGTTCTCTAAGCACATCCCAAGACATGCATTCATTGCTTGGCTTGCCCTGCATAATAGGCTCTCAACTAAGGACAGACTATACTCTGCTCCTACTGATAATTCTAGCCTATGTTCCCTCTGTATGAGTGAAGGTGAGACACATGAGCATGTGGTCTTCAAATGCAGGTTCTCCTCAAGAATTTGGGACTATGTGCAACACAAATGCGGCATATGCTGTGGAGATCGTAGCCTCCTATTCATAGCTAATTGGATTGGATCAGTTTGGAACACTGAATGTAATTCAATTACATCAATCACAACCAAGTTATGTTTCTCTGAATGCATTTATTTCATATGGAAGGAGAGGAACGAGCGCACCTTCACTGGGAAACAAGCCACTCCTCAAAAGCAGTGTGGGATGTCATTGAGGACTGCATTCGAAATCGTCTATTATCCCTTAGAATCAAGGACTCCAAAGGCGCAAGGTCCGTTGCAGCTGAATGGAGACTCCCAAGTATGATCGTTGCCATATCTTCAGATGGTGATTGATTCTCTGTTCTCCTCTCCTGCTCTTCTGTTGCTCAGTACTTAGAGCAATGGTTAAAATTTGCTGGGTGGGGTAATTTTGCCTGTGGGCTGCGTGTTTTGGGGCTTCTTCGGCTTGATTTTTGTTGTTGCTTCTTTTTTCAATAAATTGGCTTGACTAAGAGAAAAAAAAAATGGCATCCTTATTGAAGTTGCAAGTCAGCCTCATCATAACACAAGTTGTCATAAAAAATATAGAAAGCTACTGTCAATTAGCAAAATAGTCCATTCTTGTACTGAAAGAACCCAAAAGTGCATGAATTATAGGATTCAAATTATTAACAATAGACCTCATTGGAAATACTAAGCTCTGGTGCAATATTTGGTCAATAATAATATTTTTTCCGCTGATAAGTAGTACTAATGATAACAACAATGATTACGATAGTTTCAAGATGATGACAATGAAGATAGTTTGGTGAAACTGTTAAACAATAGATGACTGCTCACTTATCAAAAAATAAAATGAAAGGTTGAATTTTTCGGTAAGTTGGATCATGGTAACTATTGAGACCAAGAAACTTGGTTGTGATGCCACAGGTCAAGGTAATGTCAGCAAAAAAACAAAGCAAAAGCATGTATAATTGCACACTTTTTTAAGTTTTAATTATCTGGTTGTTCTGATTGAAGGACAAACCATTTTAGAATTCCATGTTTAGGACACGGAAAGAAACATAACAGATTAGAATATGAATACATTCAACGGCATTTTGTTTCAATTAAGGTTTACGTACTAATTTAGAAGGCTATGGACTACAACATAAATTTTGAAACAGACACTCTTCTAAAATTAAGCAATGCTGCAAAGCTGGATAATCTTGTATGAGAGAAACATTGACAACATAAACAGAGGCATTCATACATGAAGACGCAGAAAAAACATTCTACATTATACTGCATTGTGGTAACATATCAGATTATACGATAAAAAAGCATGAAAGCAAGGCAAGTTTGATACATATGTATATTGGAAAGAAGGGAAATGAGGTTTGACAGCACAAAATAGGTAAATTTGGATGCCACTAAGAAAATCTATAATAAGACATGGTTTAGAATCTGTCATCGATTCGCAGAAGCTCAAATTTGAACAAAGTTACATGTATGAAAACAATGTGCTTTATATCTATCAATACATAAATATTTTGCCCCAAATCGAAATTAAAAAAATTCTTAGCTCAAATGTGAAGCCTTTGAGCAAGATTTTATGTACCTAAGGAGTAGGACTCAAATCAGTCGACATTCAATTATCAAGAATACACATATTTTAATTAGGAACACCCAAATTATCCAACCAAAACCTGCAAAAATTCAAATTAAGCAACTAGAGGTTTAAAACCTAAGGTCTGGGGGGTTCACAATTCGTCTACATGAATGTGCATAGTTGCATGTACCAAGTTGTGTTCAATCAGATAACCTCTAAGCAAGTTGGGTGTTTGTTAAAACCCTAAAAAAAGTTCAGAAATTAAAGCAGTAGAGCATAGAGCTACATACCCATATATCCAATATAATCATGCGGAGTTTTACAGTACCTCATTGAAGTTTCAGGGTTTAAGCTGTATCTACAAGAACACGAAAGGGTGAAAAATGTAAATTGGACTACATGGGTTCTTAAAATTAAGATTATAATTTAGAACAAGCAAATTGCCAGAGAAAACCATTTGAATTGTGTGTGATGGGTACCTAAAAAAATTCACGACCATTTGACTAAAATGGTAAAACGCCGTCTGTGGGAATCGAACCCACGACCACGTGGTTAAAAGCCACGCGCTCTACCAGCTGAGCTAAGACGGCTCATACCCAATTTTGAAATGAAATTAATTTAACGAAAGTATTTGTGAACAATAAGCATTTTTGGACGGTAATTTTAAATTTAATCTGATTATTTTAATAATAAAACAACGGATAAGTTGTTTGTTTGCTGGTTTTATGCTTTCTGTAAGTGAATTTTGTATGTGAAAAGTTGAAAAGTTTCTCTCATCTTTCTCTCAACGTTGGTAATATTATTTATTTATCTATTGTTGTCTGACTTCTCCGTCCAACTCTAATTGAATGAATTGAATTAGGGTTAGAAAAAATACTAATGATAAAAAAAAAAGAAACAAAAAGAAAAGAGGAAGAATTGGTCAAAGCTGTGCAAGATGCACAGTTCAAAGGGTATATGGTAAAAAGGAAAAGTGAATTTCCATAAGGAGGTTAGGATCTATAACAATACTCGCTATGTAATTGAACCAATAATAAATAAATATGTCATCTTTAATTATCAAAATAAAAATAGTGAGATAGATAATCACTTACCAAGACAGAGATCGTGATTTGATTACTATGATTTGATAATTAAAATATGATGTGTCTATTTATTATTGGTCTACATCAACGGTGAATATGTAAATCTTCACTAGTGAGGACTTAATTGTCTTTTTAGTAAACACATGAGGTAATTTTCTTATTGTTTTTGTTTGACATCGAACATGTTGCAGTTATTGTTGACATTAAAATGTTATACATTATTTGCAATTAAAATATGTGATTTGCTTAATTAGGTGGACAACACACATGCCTACTTCATAACTCTTGTGGAATTTAAGTCACGAGTTGTGCGGTGGTAGGATTTCAAACCTCCCGAACATTACATTGAAATATCGTTCGATCAGAACTTAAAGACTTATCTTATCGTTGGATTACGTGATGCTCAAAAGAAAACACGTGTGCAAATTTTATTCTTATACTAGTTTATGGTTGTGTACCCTGAGATGGCACATAAAGGGCATTAGGATTTGATCTTCATTTCATTCATCATTGCACAACTTGTATCATTCTTTATTATAATTATCTGATTTGAATCAAGTATGACTATTCGAAGTTTCAGTCATGGAGAATATGTAACTATGTAAGGTCAATTTGCCATGCTTGTTCATCAGGTACGACGGAGAGAACACAATTATACATATAGGTTTCTTCTCTCTTTGTTTTGTTTTTTTCTTCAATAAATAGGTTTCTTCTCTTTATTAAGAGGTGAAAATAATTTTTTAAAAATAAAACTTATTGATCTTACTTAAAATTGATATTACTTGTTTACGGAGTATCTCTTTAGAAAGAAATATATATTACTTGGTGAGGTTCGAGTATCTCTGAAAAAAAAAAAAAAAAAAGTATAGAAAAGAAAAAAGAGAAAGAAATGGAAGGAATTAAGGAAAACCAATTAGATCTGACCCAGAAGGATAATGAATCAGCGTTTACCTCTTTTTGCTTCTATTATTATTATTATTATTATTATTATTATTATTATCATTTCGAACTGGAATATAGTATTGTGGCATCTCTTTTACCTTCTAAAAGGGATGATTAGAATTTGAGTTTAGAACGAATCAAAAAAATTATTCCATTAGTTATGTGATGGGGGGCGGCGTTCTTTAACAACAAAATAATAATAATAATAATAATATCGTGGGAGAAATAGTGAATTTTTTCTCGAATTGTAGCGGGGCAATTTTAAAATTTTATAAATATTGTTTTAAATAAAATAAAATAAATTTCACTAAATATATAAATTTTTTTTTTTCGCAACGAGAGCAATTGCCTCCACTAACTCCCATATGCGTGTGAGTTTCGTGCCAATATAAAAAATATATTATATAAAAATATATATTACTCATTAATTACGTAAGTCATGCAAAATGTGCAAGTGTAGTGCCCGAGTAGTTGGATTGCACCACGTGTCTGGAAAAAAATTTCATTGCGCATCTGAACTGTTCGTATAATATATGTGTGCATATTACACACGCCGATAATGAATGGTTTGGATGCATCCGTTGCACGGACGCAATAAAAATTTTCTCCTTATTTGAGTCTTGCACTCTCTCCCTTTACTCTAACAACTACTTCGTAATTCCTAACTCCTAAAAGCTATGAAGCACGAACGCAGTCACGGGACACGAACACGATACAATATGAATATGTTGATACGTCAAATTTTTAAAAAGTAGAACACGGTACGGCGTGGACACGACTACATATAAATATAAATTTTTTATTTTTATACATTTATTGAGTAATATCATTATAAAATTTTAATTCATTTATAATTTCTATATTAAGAGTTGCTCTGAAATGAATTAGAAAATGATATTATGTCGTTAGTGTAATGATTTATATATATATATATATAAGTATTTCACTACTTTTTTTATGATAGTATTTATATTATTTTCAAAATTAATAGGTAGATTTGTGTTATAAATGTCAGAGAAATGTTAGCGAAGCGTTTGAGAAGTGTAGGCGAAATGTCTGAAATAATAAAATTAATTTTTATTTATGAACACGTATGTAAAGTATCGGACACGTATCAATTTGAAAAGTATTCGAGAATGTTCGTGTTTTCTAACTTAAAAATATTGTTATTAAAAAATAAATTAATAAATAAACCATGTTAAGGTGGTCCTACTTGTGTCATTTATCATTATCAATTAATTATTATTTATTTATCATTGTCTAGTTGGTGAAGTTGCCTTAAATGAACATAAGCTTAATGTCAGATGGATTAACGGGATAGTCCACATGATAAAATGGGTCCAATTTTCATTTTCTTTTAATTAAAAATAGTAGGGTCGATATAAGGAAATGCCAAATTTTGTCTTCATACAATTAAATTTTCTTTTCCAATTCAAAATTCATGAGTCGTTCCAAACGTGTAAAAAATTTATTGAGAGAATGAGGAAATAAGACAAGAAAAATAATTTCAAAATAGGACAAAAGTATAAAAAACAAAATTAATAATAACAAATCTGTTTATGTTTTCGATGTTACTAACATTACTCGTATTCCCTTCTATAATATAAGATGTTTTGTATCAATGTAATAATTTTATATTATTTATATAATAATTATTTTAAATTTCTACAACGACAATTTTATATCAAGGATTGTAACTGATATATTTTGTGTTACATAAATGATATGCATGGATGGATGTACCACAGTCTCACTACATTGAAAATGGTTAGATTAACAAATGAACAAACCAATACAGTTATTATAGGTAGATAATAGGTAAATGTGTACAGTAATAAAATAAATTATCCAAAAGAAAAAAAAAATTGTAAAATAGAGAGCTGACAAAGATTGTGGACAGCAAATGTCGCCTTCCAAACACTGCCCAATAAGATTTTGAAAACCTCTCTCTGTAACGTTAAATCCCACTTCTCGATTCACATTTCCAAAATACTTCGGTGGACTCATTCGAAACTCCCTCTCCTTCTGGAAAATCCTATGGCTTGTCAATTTCCAATTCTACCCCCATTTCTAGAGGTTATTCACACTACTGAATACACCATTACCCATAGTTTTTTTTTTATCTTTCTTGGAAGGCTACCCCTAGCATTTTTTTTTGGAATTTTCATATTCAATGTATTCTATTATTGTTTTTATTCGGATTATCATAATTTTGCTTATGTTTATGAATTCAATTTTTAAAAAAAAAAAAAATAGATCACTTTTTGATACAATAATTATATGGTGTGTAATATTGTCTAACAAATAAGTTGTCCACACTTATATGTGTGGACACTTCTGATCATCCATGAGGACACATTTTTGAAATTTTTTTGAAGTACTTAGAGGAGAGAGTGAAGTGAACAATATTTACATAGTGTAGACTGGTCATAAGAAATGGTATTAGTGTCGGATCTCATCTAAAATAGGAAAGGTGCATAAGCTCTCATATACTTGGGGAGAATTGTCAAATACTAACATTAAAATGTAGCTTTTCTAATAATATTATCTAATATAATTGTTTAAAAAAAATTATTATTGAGGTAGCATGGGAAAAAAAATTATTATTTTTTTTAAAAAAAAATATTGAGACAAATATCATGATTTAGTACAAAATTTATTCATGCAAATTATATAATACAACTCTTTAACTCTTATTTTGTTTGTTAATTGTAATATTTTATACAGTAATGTAAATAACAATATATATCACAATAAATCAATTTTTTATACACTCTTGTTTCATATTATTATTCTTTTTTTTTTTCATTTTAAAATGTTCTAAATTAATTATTTAATTTAAAAATCAAAGCAAAATAAATGTTATATGATTGAGTAGGTACCAATCAAATTATATTTGCACAATAGCATTAAAATATAAAATTTGAATAAATAAAATAAGGAACAAATTATGTCATTTATCACTAAAGTATGAGTGAGTTCCAATGTTACAACATCACTATTAATGGATAATGAGTTGTTATTAAAATTACTTAAAAATAACATGTCAAATGATGTTAATATATAGTAGTGAAAAAAAAAAAAAAAACCTTCCGTTAATGGTAGTGGCAAAATAAAAGAATGGAGTGGCGTTATTGTAAATAAAATAAAACACAAGGGTGGTTTACTCTTCGTTTGTTTAATTTCATTTAATGGCGTAGTACCATCGTAAATAGAAGAAAAAGAAGGGGTGGTCTAACTTACTGGCTGACATTATTTTAATACCGATACCATCCCTGTAAAGCACAAAATGTTCCGCTTCCTCGCTTCTATAAATATCCCCTCACCTGCAAGCATGCCATCTTCATTTATTTCCATTTCTCTTTCCTTCTCTCTCTTCTGTTTTCTCTCTCTTAGGGTTTTGTTTCTCTCTCTACATTCCTTCATTCTCTCTCTAGAATCACCGAGCGATGGCGCAGAAAGTTCAGAACGGAGTAGGAGCTGAGAACGGAGCCTCGAAGGCGGTGGCGTTCTCGGCGTTGAAGCCGAAGCTGTTCGTGGAAGCACCGAAAGCAGACGACGCCGTACAGTTCTACAAGGCAGCGTTTGGAGCCGAGGAGGTGAACCGTGTCATGCATCCCAAGAGGAAGGCCGAGCAAGAGCTTCCTCTCATCCTCTCCGTTGAACTCAAGCTCGGTTCGTCCTCCATTCTCGTGTCTGACTTTGCCGATGACTCTTCTGCTCCGTAAGTCTCTCTTTATCTCTCAGTCTTTTTGTTTTGGTCCATTTTTCTTTTGATTGTTTCAGATCTGGACACACATATATCGTATTTGCAATTTCTGTTCATTTTAGGGTTTGGAGAATTATTTGTGTGTTTATTTTCGGTTTCTGATTGTTTTTGCCTTTAGCTAATGGTTTATGGTCTCAGAGGTTGATTATTTTTTTTTTCTGAACTTTTTTTAGTTCTTTATTTTTTTATTTAGATCTTACAAAATGCCGGTGATTAAACGGCGTTTCAAAAACTTCGTCCCGTTTTTTCTATTTTTGGTTGATTTTCGGATAATTTTGGCCTCTGCTATATTTTTTTTCGGCTTGAAATTTTTTGTCTGAGGGATTGTTTGTTGTTTATTTGTCTTTGAAGTTTGATTGTACATTTTTCTCTGTTACAGTGTGTGTAGTGTGTGTTTTATTTTGGTTGAAACTTTTTGTGCTCTGTTCTTCTGTCCTTTAGGTGGTACACATAATCTGTTATGGTCTCTTTCAGTTTGAACCCTCCAAGTTTCGATCTAGACTTTACTTCTTTGCATCAATGTCTCTACTACTTCAAGCGTCTACAGTTTCTGTCTTCTGTTTCTCTGGTTTCGTTTGAATCATTTTAGTCCATTAGTCATGACAGTAATTTTTTTGTCATTTTTCTATGTTTTATGAGAATTGATAGAAGTAGATATTCAAATACTCTGTTGGTTTCGTAATAGTTTGACAAATGATGTGATGATAAGACTCGTGTTTTGGGCAGAGCGAAGGCTGTTGGAACCGGATGCGTGATCTGCCTGGAGACCGAGGACGTGAAAGCTGCAGTTGCGAAGGCTGTGAGCGCCGGAGCTGTCTCGGAAAGCGAGGTAGCAGAGGAGGGCGGCGGTGAAGGCGACGGCGCGTGCTGCGGTGGGCGCGTGGTGAAGGTGAAGGACCCCTACGGCTTCAACTGGCTGATTTGCTCTCCTCCTCCTCCCTCCAAGAAGCCTGCTGACGTGGAGGCGTAAAAGCCGTCCGATCTCAACCTCTCTGATTTTACGTTTCAGTATGCTTTTAGTTCCGATTTTAAATGTGATGCACCTATCTAAAATGTAGCAAGTCCCATTAGTGGTGGAGTACATTAAATAGCGTACTCGTTAGTGATTTTGGAAGACCAAAACTTTGTTATCTTTAACCGACAGCTGCCAGTTTATCGACTTATATTTTACTATTAGTTGTATTATTAATACTTGCTTCTTGTCTGATCTCTTTCATACAGTGAGTCAAAAAAAAAAAAAAAAAATTGTACTATAAAGGTTAGTTTTGTCTTTTCAACAGGCCTTGGGTAACGGACTTGTGCCCTCGATAAACGGAGGTAGGTTAGTGTTGGACCTCGTTTGATGATAAATATCTTCGATTAATTTGTTTAGTAATTTTGTAGTTGATTTTTCGGTGAAAAAATTAAGTAAATAGAAAAAAGTTTACAGCTGTTGGTACGACAGAGAGTCAGATAATGACACGTGTACAATAGAGTACAACCACCAGTCTTATCCAGTATCTCTCCGTATCGGCATGCGAGTGGCGAAATGGATGGTGCGAAGTATGTGGATCCCACGGGGGTATGGGAAAGGGTTTTGTTGATGGGGTTGGGTTGTTTTCTCGTGAGGACTAGTCACTGAGGCGGTGGCGAGCTTTTCATTCATTTGAATCCTACCGTGCACGCTAGGGTAATGTATTACATGAATGGTGAAGTCTGTTTAGGAGGGTATTGGATTGATGAGATTTTTATGTAGCTCAGTGGAGTGGAAACTCTAAAATAATGTTTGAGCCAAGCAAAGGAAGGGGGGTTTGTTTGGATTAAGTCAAGGCCAAAAGTTGGTCAATGGGATTATTACGGACTATTTGTTGCTTTGTCCGGTATTTCTGGTAGAATTATCACGTGGGAATAAGTGTTTTAAACAGTAATACTTGGACACGTTGTGCATGTTAGAAGGTCCATGCTTTTGACTCGTGTACACCAGTTTGTTAATGGGATCAGAAATTTGTTTCTTTATTCATTTGTTGGAAAAATTATCCCATGAGTTTTAATTTTTCACTTTTAATTGACTAAAAAGTTAAAAACTATTTTAACTATTGTGAACAAGACTTTCAAATACTACTCCATTGCACAAAGAAAAGGTGAGAGATAATAATGGATCTACGAGACATTCTTAGGAATGAGATTGTATGTATATATATTTTATTCAGACTAAATATTTAAGGATGTCGGCGATAATTGGGCGATCCAAATATGATGTTTTCAAGTTTTTAATTACTCGAATGAAGAATCGTCTCGCGTCTTGGAGGCAACATACTCTCTCGGATGGAGGTAAGGAAGTTTTGATTAAGGCAGTGTTGAATGCTATTCCTACCAATATTATGTTTGTTTTTCAGTTACTGCGTAAGTTGTGTCTGGAGTTAATGAAGTAGGTGAGGACTTTTTTGGTGGAGGAAGCATGGTAAGCTTAACTCTGTGCATTGAGCTTCATGGAATTTACTTTGGCAGAGTAAGAAGGATGGTGGGCTCGGTTTTAGAGATCTTGAAGCTTTTAACTAGGCGTTGTTGGCGAAACATGCTTGGAATTTCTAGGTGTCTAAAACGGGTATGGCGTTTCAGTTGTTTAAAGCGAAATATTTTTCCTCCTGCTCTTTTCTTGAGGTGCCTCTGGGATCAAATCCATCTTGGGCTTGGCCCAGTATTTGGTCATCTCAGGAGTTGTTTCGGAGAGGATTATGCTAGGTGGTGGGAGATGGTGCTTCTATCCATATTGGGAAGGATAAATGGATCTCTGGTATTTCTATGCCCTTAGGGCCAATGGAGTCTGCGGTTGGTTTTGACAAGATTGCTGACTTGATGGATGGTAATTCCAGAGAGTGGCGTATGGACATTTTGGGGCAATTGTTTAATGCTTCAGAGATTCATCATATCTCACACGTCGTTGTACGGCAAGGGTCATTACCGGATACCCAAATTTGGGAAGTTGAGCCTTCAGGTAAGTTTACTGTTAAGTCAGCCTATAATTTAGCCATGTTGCTGTCTATGTCTTCGAGTATGTGCGATTTGCCGAGGGCGGATTACCAATTAAGTTCTAATACTCGATGGAGTTCATTGTGGAGATTAATTTGCCTTCCAAAATTAAGCATTTTATTTGGAAATGTTGTTACGGGTTAATCCCATCAGAGTATGAGCTTGTTCGTAGAGGTTGTTTGGACAATCCGGTCTGCCAGCGATGTAGGGTGGATGTGGAAGATGTGAGCCATATTTTTTTTCCGCTGTTATCATTCGGTGCAGGTATGGAAGTTGTCCCCCCTTCGTTGGGATTTTCTTGCACACCCCCCATCTTCTTTTCTTGAATGGTGGGATGGAATTGCGGGTGTATCAGTGTTTTCCCAGGAGCGTAAGTCTATTCCGGTGGGTCTGGCTTCATTTTGTCTGTGGGCGATTTGCAAGGCTCGAAATAAAATAATTTTTGAGCAGACAGAATGGAACCACTTGGTGGTGGTAAATTTGGCCTTGACTATATTTTGGGTATTTGTTAATGTGCACAAAAAATGCCAATTAGTCATTCATCCCTCGCAGCGGACTGATGCCCCTTCCTGTTGGAGCCGGCCAGTGCATGGTGTTGTTAAATGTAATGTTGATGCTTCTTTCTCGAAGCTTTCTCAACTGGGAGGTGGCGGTGCAGTCAGGGGCGGAGCCAATGTATGCCCAGAAGGAGCACGTGCCCCTGGCCTGGCCCTGCTTACTATAATACATATACTAAATTTATATATATATATGAAAAAAATTCATATAATGCCCCTCTTGAACTTTTTATTTTTTAAAATAATTTCTTAAATTTTATATTTCTTCTCTTTTATACTCTATAAATTCCTTTAATTTCCTTTTAAAAAAAAGTCAAAATTTCCTTTTTGAATCAAACTCCAATTTTTTCCCTTTCTAAACTCTCTTATTTTTTTTTTCCTTTTTAATTTTTTTTGTTAACTATTTATCGTTCTTAAATTAGTCATTGCTTGAAATATTTTTTGAGTAAATTTTTTTTTTTTTTTTTAGAATCTATATTTATTGTCATAATTATTGAATTATTATTATTATTTTTACACTGTGCCCCCTCTGAATTTAATTTCTGGCTCTGCCCCTGGGTGTAGCGTTTCGGGATTCCTCAGGTTTGGTTCTTCAAGCGGTAATTTTTAAGCCTTTTGTGTCTTCGTCCATGCTAGAGTCAAAGTCTTTTTGCTTTAGTCGTGCTGTCTTTTGGGCCATAATGTTTAAATTTTCGGTGGTTTGCTTTGAGTCGGATTCTAAAAAGGTGGTGGATGCCATTGAAGGAGTTTGTTCTAGTGATGTTTCAATTGTTTCTTTAGTCTCTGAGATCAGACAAGAGCTTCAATATTTTTCTGATTTTTCCATTTCGCATGTCCGACGACAAGGTAATCGAGTGGTGAATTGTGATACTCCTCGGATCCGAGACACGGGTTGATCAGACCCATGCCCAAACCTGAGGGAAATATAAAACAATCAATATATAATTGAACACAGAATACAAGATGGAATAAGAAATAAAAAATAATAATAAACTGAAAGAATGCTAATTGAAAATCCTTAAAATATAATTATTGAAATCCAATACTCCAAGACTCCATAAGGTTAACAACTCGGGAATCCATCCAGTGGACCCCTTAATAAAAATCTCAATAAAAACTAAAACAACAGAAGTAAAATCTAAAGCTAAACATAGAAAGAATTCCTACGTAATCAGAGGAATGAATGTCTGTATCTGCACTGCACGTCCAAGCTCTAACCCTAGAACTGACGAATACCTGAAAAATAAGAGAGTGGGTCAGGCCCACATGCAAGTCCTATTCTACTACAATCCATACAGTAATCCAATACGCAGATACATCCTAGGAAGACTCAACAATATCTAGAGTAATCCATATGTATATATATAGTACACACTATAGGACACTCGCTAGTCCAGTAGGTCTGTCTCAGCTTAAGTAGAGATACCATGCAAATCGCACATAATATGGCCATGTGTACTTAAGTAGAGATACCAAGCTCATACCATGTCACCATAACATAAATATATAAAGTCCGTATCCTCCTAATATAGAATATCATCCATCTGATATAGTGGCATGATATCTGTATAACAATTCATCCCAGAAATCCGATTGTGTCATTCAGTTATTTACTGACCCGACACCAATAGAAGTCGGACTTAACTTTTATTGTTAATCCGAACCTCAATCCAGATTAGGTAGGCTTAGTGTCTGAACTAGTCCGTACCTAGTATGCCACCGTCCCATACCGATGCACACCATCCTCCATTTACCATAGTTGACAAAACAATTAAATAGTTATCAACTACATTCCAAAATAAACACAATTACAATCTAACATGCGTAAAACTGAATCATGCATCCAATAATAGATTTAGAAATCCTGTTCAAATCCTTTAAATTAATGAAGCACAACTACGCATTTAACTCCTCCAACCAGTCCATAGATTTACATAGTTATGTATATTTCCACATCAAGCATTCCAAATTAAGCATAAATATTTCAAGTAACCAATTATGCTCAATACAGTGTTACAACACGATTTATAGGATTAAATCATGTAAACATAAATTGCTAAACAAATTTCAGTAAGCCATTTAAAGTAACTATCTAACCTTCCACATGCAAGCTTCCTGTTTAACCTTATATTGTTTCATGCTACAACATAATTATATTAACATGCTTCCCAGTATTTTTACATGTTTATAACAGTTATATAGACCATAAACTGAAATCTAAACAACTTAAAATTAATCCAAACTGCATAATAGAACCCCAAACCACCGAAAAATCACAAAACCGGAGGAAAATAGGGTTGGAGCCGCCTCCAGAACATTGGAGCCCGCTCCCCCTAGGTGAAACCGCCTCCACCTTATGTGGAAGGGGTAGAGCCGGCTCTACAAGCCCTAGAGTCGGCTCTGCCCTTTTGGTGAGCCGGCTCTTCTCTTTTGAAAGCTGTATCCCCTAACCTGTTCGTTTCCTTTGCCTCCGGCGAAGTCCAGAGTCACCGTACAGTTTTTAAAACTTAATCCAGGGTTCAATTGATGTCCTAGAATTAATTAAAAGCATGCATTCAATCCTAAATACACAAAGGTTAAGTAAGATTACAACCAGTGCAAACATATTCT